TGTTTTCATTGTGTTTTTATCTAATCACATTATTTAATCACTGTTTTTATTTTACTGTGAACACAGTAATATAATTGTGGATTTTTCCTGAGAAAATCTTTCATTTATCTGGACTAACAGAAGGTTCAGAACTGATTATAAAACAGAAATGTTAATTAATCATCARWAATYWTTTGCAGTGATTTCTCTTAGTCTATCAGAAGAAAGCTGAAAAGAGGTTATCATATCATGTTGTTGAACAACCAAAGAATTTTAACCTTGGGCTGGCGCCGGCTGGCAAATCTTTATCTTTCTTTTTCTGACTCATCCCTAAGCCTGAGGGCGGAACCAAAGTTCGTCCGTTTCTTTTACTAACCCGGAAGGCTTTGAGCGACACTCTTCTTCCTAATTCCAACCTAGGAAGACAGCTGGGATTCTCTCTGGAGAAAACCCAGTTTGGCTTCAAGTCTGATCCCATGAGCTAATTAGGGAAGACTTGACAGCCAGGGACCCGGCATGCCTGCCGGTGGTCTCACCCCGAGGCGGAGCCTCTGAGTGTTTTTAACTCCCGAGGGGAGATTTTATTTTGGACAGAGGAACCGGATACGGCTTGAATTTTTCTGGCTTGGACTGAAACGGACGAAAGTTACCTGGAAAAACACCTGGTCGCCAATGACCGGTAAGCGAGCRGACATCAGTTCCCTGACTGATCGGAGGCGAGCCAGCTCCTACCCCGAGGGTGCCTTAAGAAGACATCATCAGGTAAAAGCTGATGTGTTCGGAGTGACGTGTCATGTGGAACCTGAGCTTAGAAAAGACGTGCAGTTTCCGGTTGACCCACACTTTGATAAAGGTAAAAGTCGTAGTAACATACTAATCTTACTTTCCTCCTTTCCTTGTTCTTAATTTGCCAAAACTTAAGCTGAAAGTGCCAGTAAAATTGTTTGGTTGTTAACATCAGAAKTGYCGTTTTACTGTTCTATATAAGTAATCTGAGTTGATGTGAATTGAAATTCGGACGCAGGTTTTATCTCATTTAACTCTGACGCTTGTTATAGGAATAACCACAATCAAGTGTAACTTATGATCTGTTCAATTTGTGTAAATAAATGATTGCATAGACTTTTATGAATCAACTTGAACTCGTCTGAGCGTTCACTTATTGTGTCACTTTTCACTTCGCACAGTCAAGATATTAACAAGTAATGAGAAATACCTTGGTAAAAGTTTCCTCATAACCTTGTGTATGAGAGATGTGGGAAAAGCTTAATTCAATTTAAGTTCACTCCTACATAATACACTACAGTATCAGAGTTTTATATATTTATACTTCTCATTCAACCACAGTTAAATTCACTCTATAGGAGGCTCAGTTTAAATGGATTGTATTTATTTTTTACAATAACAAGCTGGAATGAAAACAAGCAAAAATGAAATAAAAGTAACAACTTTCTACTTCTTGCCTTTTTAAAAAAATGTAAGAAGTAAAAGTAAAAAGTAGGCTGAAAAATAATTACTCAAGTAAAGTTCAGATACCCAAAAATTCTACTTCAGTACAATAACAAAGTATTTGTACTTAGTTACTTTACAACTCTGACGGGAACAATAACAGGTTAGTTGTTAAACAGCAACATTTCTTCTCAGAGATAAACAATCAAACAGCTTAAATAAAGTTTAATATCTGTTTTCTTTAGATTTAATCATATTTTAAACATGAATAATTGAAGTCAAACTTCTTTAAGCTCCTAATAAACCAGAGAAAACTATGAAACAAAGACAAAAACAAAGAAGCTGTTTTGCTGCATCACCATTAACGCTCACGCGCACCATCACCGTCCCCCTGTGATCATGCTGCAGGGCCAACACGCGCGCGCGCGCGTGTGTTATCCCTCATCTGTTACACACAGACTCACGCACGCGCAGGCACCATGACCTGCCAGCAGCTGTAGCAGCTCGCGCCATCTCCGCTGAAGCGGCGGAACGAACGCGCGCTGACACGTGCGCGCACGGCGCGCGGCTACAACACAACGGCCCGCGCGCGCCTGTGCACGCGCACAAACACAACAAGACACGCGCACATCACCAGAGCCGCAGGTGCGACTCATTCAGCACCCCCAATCACTGGGCGCGTGCGCATGCAAGGAGCGCGCGCGCGCACTTCCACTGACGCAGAAAACTCCGAACAGACGGAGCAGAAAAACATCCAAAGTGTCTCCAGAAACAAAACTGCTCAGGTTGAAACCAACCAGACCCGCGCGCGCACATCCACTCTCAGCGCATGCACGCGCACGCGCATGCACATTGACTTGTTTTGGCTCCCCTACCTTCCTCGTGCATCCGTTGCAGGCAGAAAGTGAGGTTCCTCCTCCAGCCCGGCATGCTGCTGAGGATGAGGAGGGTTAATCTGAAGATCCTGTCCTGTCCGGTGCACGAGGAGGAGGTGCAGGTTCAGGAGGAGGTGCAGGTTCAGGAGGAGGTGCAGGCTGCTGCACACTGAACCCTTTGTCTGCTCCTCGGTCCTCCTCCTGTGGAGGTAACGGTCAGGAGCTGCAGCTCAGACCTCTGACTGTTGGTGTGACCGTCGGTCCCGCTGCGGCACCACAACACTTCCTCTCCCTCTCTCTCTCTCTCTCTCTCCAGTCCACTCACTTTTCATTCATTCATTCATTCATTCATTCATTCATTCATTCATTCGTTCTTTCTTTCTTTCTTTCTTTCTTTCTTTCTTTCTTTCTTTCTTTCTTTCTTTCTTTCTTTCTTTCTTTCTTTCT